TATTCCTTTTTCAGTGATGTTTAAGAAGAATTTAAACACCAAAATATATGATACATGGTCTAAAATAAGAGGATAAGAGGGAAAGTTGTTGATCTTCGTTTTCTTATCATTTATTAAGGGTATCCGGTAAATTGCACGAAATCAGTTGCTCGACAGTAAATTGCTTGAAATCAGTTGCTCGACAGTAAATTGCTTGAAATCAGTTGCTCGAAAAATAATTTCTCGAACTATGAATTGTTCGAAAGGCTGATTGTTCGAAACTTGTGGTTAAAAAAATAAAACTACATCGTTTCTAATATTTACTATAAGATAAAATAATACAACAGTTAAAATTGAAGAACGAGTACATTTATTCTAGAGTTCGAGATCTCCAAAATTACTGAAATAGAAATAGAAAACAAATATAGAAAAAAAAAAAATCAGGACGGCTAAAGTTGAGTGTTGTGGCTCCTTTTATATCCAGCTCCGTTGACGTGTCGTGAGACGGCGCAGTTTACGTGGTGCTTCGAGATTCGAAATTACTTCGAGCAATCTGTCTTTCGAGCAATTAATAGTTAGAGAAATTATTTTTCGAGCAATTGATTTCGAGCAATTTACCGTCGAGCAATTGATTTCGAGCAATTTACTGCCGAGCAATTGATTGCGAGCAATTTACCGTCGAGCAATTGATTTCGAGCAATTTACTGCCGAGCAATTGATTGCGAGCAATTTACCGTCAGCAATTGATTTCGAGCAATTTACTGCCGAGCAATTGATTTCGAGCAATTTACCGTCGAGCAATTGATTTCGAGCAATTTACCGCCGAGCAATTGATTTCGAGCAATTTACCGTCGAGCAATTGATTTCGAGCAATTTCCTGCCGATCAATTGATTGCGAGCAATTTACCGTCGAGCAATTGATTTCGAGCAATTTACTGCCGAGAAATTGATTTCGAGCAATTTACCTAGATCCTTTATTAAGTTATGTTTAGTCGTCCAAAATGTCCTTCATTATTTTTTTTTAAAAAAAATTGCATTTATACAGAATACTTTTTGACGCTATAATTCCCCCACCTAAAAAAACAAATCACACAGAATTTTTCTATCAAAATCTAGATAATCCATATGAAATTGAAAGAAAATCTAGCTAATCCCACGTGAAATTGAAAGAAAATGAAAATCTGGGAAAAATATTCGGCCACTGCAATCATCGATTGAAAAAAATTATGGCATTTGAAGGTAATGCTTGTAAAGATTATTATTAGACCTGTTGGAACTGTCTTTCAAATAGAATGGTAAAATTCAGTCAGTCAGTTATGTGTCATGCGTGATACACGCTTAGGCGATCATGTATCTTACGATACATGACTGACGAGACAGATTTTTTCCCTTAGTAGGTTGCCATTTCTTTCTGCGGTAGACCAGTTTCCATCCAAGGCTATAGAACACGGTCTGTCCTGCTATTCACCCATAGCTAGGGAAAGAAGAAAAGGATTCATACCTTTCCTAAGAGTATTAGCATGTTAATGAATGTAATGGATTCGACTGAAATTCGAACCCGGTTCTCCGATTCCTCAAGTCGAACCGCTATCCATTACTCCACCGCGAGAATTAGAAATCCGAAAAATAATCGAACCTTCCGGAGTACAGCATTTCTAAAATCGTCAAGAATACTGAGGAGGGTGCTGGAGTATTGGAGAGACTTGCTGTCACGTGATCACCAGCGTGTCATCAGATGTTATTAATCAAGTAAATGATGATGATGATAGTCATATAAATCAGTGAATTTAGCAAATTAGTTCAGAAGGAACAAAAGAGTAGGTGTGAGGTGGGTGGGAATGTGGACCCATTAGGAACTGTGTAAGAAACTGCATTTGAAGCATGCAGAAATTCTATGTACGCAGATCTGTCTCTGAGTATAAAACGCAACAGTTTCCCTGATTCTCTAAGATTCAAATGGATCGTCCAATTTCAGACTAGAAGACTTGCAAAAAAAAGTCTGTCAGTGAGTGGATTTCGTTTTTGCAGTGGAACGCTGAGTAGATTTGGAAGAAAGTGAAAAGATGAATAAATATCTCGACCTTGCTAGGGAAGCTATAAAGTTTGGCAACTTCAAGCTCTCTCACTACTACTACTACTACTACTACTACTACTACTAATAATAATAATAATAATAATAACTGGGAGTCATTGGTAGCAACTGAAAATCCAACGTTGAAGTAAAAATGAGACAGTTTTATTAAAATCATCGACAACAACGAGAAGACTGATGGAATTTTAAGATTTCTTGTCACTTAACTTCCAGATACTACTAGTTTCTTTTTTTTATATACATTTTTAATGTCCACCCACTACAAGGCCCAAGAGCCACACAAGTTAAAGAATTACTATTGTGTTGTATGAGCGTAAGACAAGACAAGAAGTTCAGCTTATGAGGCTATGTTGGAAGATAACGGTTAATCTCAGATTTGAAGAAATCAAGATTGTATTAGTCGGGAAAGCACCCTATCAGGAGTCTGTTCCATAAAGCAGCAGATTTTGGAAAGAATCTCTTTGAGTGGAATTTACTTCTTACTAATGGAATACGAAGAGAATGAGGGAGATTCTGTGTATATGGCATGACGGATCCTATCTGTGAATGTCTAGAATGGTGGAACTAAGGATCTGGTCTGAACGTCTACGATGGAAATAACGATACAGTTGCGAGAGGTTAGTAACGATCATTCTATGGGATAGGAACCGAAAAGTTGAAAGTAGTTCCTCACCTCGTAAGGCCGCGCGAACATTTAGAATTCTCTCAATGCTGAAGAGTGAGGACTGAACAGCCAGAACCAGATATGGAATCAATAATCGTTTTTTGTTCTGATCTAAATTTTGCAAAGATAGATCATGCTTCTCCCCGTTTTTTTTTTTGAAACAGGAGGAGATAGGTACGTCCGGTGCCCGATTCCCACTCCTTTTCCGCTTTTGTAACAGGAAGAGAATTTTAGCTCTTGTTCCTTATTTAGGATTGGGTTTACGGTTCCTTAATCTCGGTAATTCTGACGTCTCCGTCCTGAACTCTGAAATTCTATTCTCTAATCATTCATTTTTTCCTCTTCCAACAGGAGTAGATAGGTACGTCCGGTGCCTGATTCCCCTCCTTTTGTTTTTTTGCAACAGGAAGAGAATTATAGCTCTTGTTCCTTATTTAGGATTGGGTTTACGGTTCCTTAATCTCGGTAATTCTGACGTCTCCGTCCTGAACTCTGAAATTCTATTCTCTAATCATTCATTTTTTCCTCTTCCAACAGGAGTAGATAGGTACGTCCGGTGCCTGATTCCCACTCCTTTTCCGCTTTTGCAACAGGAAGAGAATTATAGCTCTTGTTCCTTATTTAGGATTGGGTTTACGGTTCCTTAATCTCGGTAATTCTGACGTCTCCGTCCTGAACTCTGAAATTCTATTCTCTAATCATTCATTTTTTTCCTCTTCCAACAGGAGTAGATAGGTACGTCCGGTGCCCGATTCCCACTCCTTTTCCGCTTTTGCAACAGGAAGAGAATTTTAGCTCTTGTTCCTTATTTAGGATTGGGTTTACGGTTCCTTAATCTCGGTAATTCTGACGTCTCCGTCCTGAACTCTGAAATTCTATTCTCTAATCATTCATTTTTTCCTCTTCCAACAGGAGTAGATAGGTACGTCCGGTGCCCGATTCCCACTCCTTTTCCGCTTTTGCAACAGGAAGAGAATTTTAGCTCTTGTTCCTTATTTAGGATTGGGTTTACGGTTCCTTAATCTCGGTAATTCTGACGTCTCCGTCCTGAACTCTGAAATTCTATTCTCTAATCATTCATTTTTTCCTCTTCCAACAGGAGTAGATAGGTACGTCCGGTGCCCGATTCCCATCCTTTTCCTTAATTTTTTGCAACAGGAAGAGAATTTTAGCTCTTGTTCCTTATTTAGGATTGGGTTTACGGTTCCTTAATCTCGGTAATTCTGACGTCTCCGTCCTGAACTCTGAAATGCTATTCTGTAATTTTCATTTATTTTTTCTTCTCCTGATAGGAGCAGATAGGTTTGCCTATCGTCCGGTTCACACTTCTCCCTGGTCTTTTGAACAGGAGTAGAGGTTCATCTCTTGTTTCCTGTTTAGAATTAGTTTTCCGTTTCCTTCTAAATTCTACTCCAACTCTATAATTCTAAAGTCTCCGCTAACGTTATTCACTAATTAGATCATGACCAATTCAAGTCTAGAATTAGCTCTTTCCTGTATAGTCCCAAGAACATTACTTCTTGTCCTTTCTTACGTTAATACAACTACACACAGTAACATTCTACCTTGAGTGGCTCACGTGAACGTTAGTAAATAAAAAAGTCAGATACTTTTTGGAACTGTACCAGAAACCGGTCATTTTCACAGCATCTTTGGTGATTGATTGTATATACGAGATCCACTCGAGGTCTCGAGTAATCTTGTGTCCCAATAGATGCTGGTCATCATGACTGGTGAAAACTTAGAGTGTTCTTTGTGATGATGAAACGCTACTAAGATCATTGTATTAGTGAGACGCCAGACCTAGACATCGCAGAAGAAAGAGAACGGGTCAGAGGAATCTGCGCTTCCAGCAGCTAACAATCCAAAACTGAAACAGAAGGACAAATATTTAAACTGTCAGAAAATAGAACAAATAAAAAAAAAAAAAATATCACGATCTTGCTCGTAAAAATTAGAGCGTTTTTAGCGTCCCTGACCTTTTGACCTTTGCAATAGATGTAAGAAGAATTGGGAATCCAAGAAAGATGAAACAATCTTCAAACTACGCCAATATGAAAACGGAAACACAAGAGTTAAAGATGATTTGAGTAAGCTTACTGTCACTTGATCTCTGACAAAACCTAGAAGAATGCTATTGATGTGAAAATCCATTGAATAATAATGACTTTAATAATATCTAAACTGATCGAAATTTTATGCCCCATCAATCAAACATCACCCAGCTCCAAACAAAACATTGATCTTTTTGATCGATATGCGTATTCAGACAATGGAAATACTGCGCAGAAGGATTCTAAGAAAATGAATATTTACAAAGATATCAGGAACAGTAAGACGTGGATCTTCCATTCGGGAATATAGAAACAGTAACAGACTCTTTCGGAATGTGAAAGAAAGAAGTTGACAGGCATTGACGCTTGCTACGAGGTCACCAGAGAGTGAATGATCTGTTGATGAATGCACTGATGAACAGCAAACAATCCCAAAACTTTCTGACTGATTATGAACTGTTCAGTTAATCAACGAATCTAACCTGAGGATCAAATGGAATCAGTGCACAAAGGAAATACAACTGCAATTTTTTCCTCCTCCTCCTCCTCCTCCTCCATCATCATCTTCTTCTTCTTCTTCTTCTTCTTCTTCTTCGTTGTTGTCGTCGTCGCTGTCTTTTTTTTCTCAAGAATTCTAGTCTTTTTCTTCTCTTTCTACTTTTAGATCTATTTACTTCTCTTCTTGTTCTTCTTCTTTTTCTTGTTCTACATGAATTTTGGCTAATTATTGTTGTCTCCCGTTGTTTTTCGATGTTTTTTTTCATCAGAGTATTTTTGTTTTAGACTAGCTGTCGTCGAAAGTTAGGCAATCCAGTCTAACTCATTATGGGGGTTGGAGGGAGGAGATGGGTTTCCGAAAGGCATCATTGCGAAAGTGAATGAGTCCGAGTTTGAAACCGGCTTGTCGTTTCCAACTTTCGATAATTTTTCTGATAACCATTATATATATCATTTACATTGTTCGGACTGTTGTCCTCTTCTTCGCGACGTTTCAGCCGTTGTACGCTCCGGCCTCCTTCGGGTAATTGGAATTTTGAACTGAACCCTTCATTACGTCCAGTGCGGTAGATTGTTCTGGTTCCACGTGCCATGCCTTTTCCGGATGTCTTAGTATCATTTATCTACCTTTAACTCAACTCAAGTTTTTTATTCACCTCTGCTGTAGCCAGGTATTGATCTCACAACTCTTTTGATGCCATACTTGGACATCATTGCCCGAATCGGAGAAATAGCCTTGAACATTCCTCGGGCACGGGCGGATGAGCTAAGAAGGAAAGTGAGACAGATACTGGAGAAAGCCAAGCCCCCCCCCCCCCACCAAACAACCCAAAACTGGAGAGGCTGGTAATTATAACTCTACTAAGGAATGACATCATCATCATAATACCAGTTGACAAAGGCAATGTGACTGTAGGGATGGACAAAACCGAATATATAGGAAAACTCAAAAATATTCTAAACAAGCCCTTGCTGTCGGATGTAGTTTATCGTCTTACCCAGGACACCTCTCCATTGGTATTACCATTTCTATTTAGCTTAATCTATAGAGTACCTTATCAAAAGATTTTATCAGCCTATAATGGTAAAAAAAGGAATCCCTCTCTTCATCCGTAATGAGATGAATAATATCTACATAAAAATAGTAATTAAAAAATAATAATGTAATTGAGCAGGTGTGAATCATTTAAAATCGGTCTCGACACTTCTTGCTAATTCCTGACTAAAACGAAAGACATCGCTGGGAAATTGGTTTCTGAAGTGAAAAAGGAAAATAGAAAATTTCGTTGTAATATTAAGCTAACAGTTATCAATACATTTTCTCTTTTGCGCATCTGACTTTTTTTTCTTATTAATCCCTTGACGTCGCAAAAACCAAAGTTATTTTCCCCTAAATGAAAAATTTAATGGTGTAATTTTAATAACATTGCGTTACATTGCTTGTCAACGATTTTTACACAGTCGTTAAAAACGATATTGTTTCTTAATTTTTTATCGCATGTAAAATAAAGCGCAAAAGATTCCTGAGGAATCTTACCAAAGCAACATGAAAAGCATCAAAATATGAAATGAATCAATCTTTTACCTTAATAATTCTCTGGCTTCAAGAACTTGATTTGAATTCATCTTGAGACCATGAATAAACATATCGGTCCTGTATAAAGAAAAATATATATATATGTTTTACTGAACAAGTGAGAGCAAAAGATTATATCTTAACAATCCCGTTGGTTTAAGAGATACTCCGAAATTAATACCTTCTATTTTATTATTTTAGTTCACAGCATCATCGGCGGATATTGTTGTCAATAGAGGAGGAATTTTCCCGCCAATAACTCACAAATGTTTTAAGTTGTTAAAGATAGCAGTCGAGCAAAAAGGTGTCGACAATGAAAGTGATTACGAAGCATGACTGTGTCAATGGTTTTCTTCATGCTGAAAATATGCACACGTTGAAATTCATCGAAGCTTGTTTAAGGTTTATGGAGACCAAATAATGAATGTGATCTCAGATAGGCGATAGGTGATGCGCTTCAGCACTGAGGAAAGCCTTTGACAAGCAACATGCCTTGGCGGCACTGAACAACTGCCAACGCACAAAATAAAGAGCAACTTGAAAATGCCAAGCCAACGATGGGAATTGTGCGGACAAAACATAGCTAAGAACTCGTACTATCAAACAGTGTGTTATTGTGATATCTGTATAAATAAATAGAAGGCGTTACTTTCGAGGCAAATCTCGTAAATTATGTGATTTAATTTAAGAGGTTTTAATTGTGGCTTTCAGTTAAAAAGTATATAAATCCAGGAATAATTATAACCGTTCAGGTTAAGATATTTGGATAAAAAAATGTCCCTTTTTAAGAGAAACAAGGAAATTATTCTCATTTTTAAAGATGTATTCGACTGGAACGAATGATATGTGTTGTGTATGATACACCTAATTTACATAAGCGGACTACCGACCATATAAATATGGGTTGGTACCGGAAGACGGGGAAGATAGTAGAGATTAAGAAATTGAATCCAGAGACTCTGCCCGACTGCGATTTAGTCAACCCATTATGCAGGAACAGTCTTCCCAAGAATATACCAAACTAACTGTAAATATTGTGTACCTATTCTTTGTTTCAATACATTTTGTTAACGTACATTTTGTGTTGTATTATTCCATGCTTATTTAAGCTTCAACAATATGTCAAACGTATTCATAATTAACAAATAACTAATTTATTGATTTTTGCTAAAACCTTATTGATTAAAATTACTACAATACAGAACTACGCCAATAAATTCGCAAACCATAATGATGAAAACATACAACGAGACCCTTGCCCAAGCTTCCCACTGACCAGACAATGATTACCCCGTTGCATTTTGATTTTTGATCTCATCGCTGTGTTCCGAAAGCTGGGAAAGGGCGCGCTGCATGCTTACGAGGTAACAGGATGAAAAAGAAAAGTCACTTTGAAAAATAGATGCTTTATTCAGGTCTTCGCCTGCTCGTCTGAGTGGGTAGGTAGGTGATATTTGGGTTACAATTTCTGGTATGTTGATCTAACAGTTCAGCTCTTCCTCCAACCAACTTCTTGCCCATCTACTCATCCCGACATGGTGGATGGCATTACGAATGGATGGGATAGGAACACCTGACAGACAAGTCTCCCTCCCGCCAAGGGCGGACAAGAATTACCCCCGATCTCAAGCATAACTGTTAATATAGACAAGCATCCGGATATACCCTATTTCCAGTTTTGTTGCCACTTGATCACCAAAAACCCATCATCTACTTCTTTACTCCCCGTTTTCATTCGCTTAGAGTGGATACTGCTTAGAAAATTAGACTTGAAAAAGGACTACCTGCTGTGCTAGCTATTAAACAAAAGCACTTGAGGTTAAGAGATAACCATCTCTTCACTTTCAAAGTGGGTGTACATAGTATCACGAAAGTAAATATAAGTTATCAAATATTTGTTACAACATAATTTATTTCCAGGCCAATGCACTTAATTCTACATTACTTACAAAGAACATCATCCAGTAATAATTTCAGATCAATATTCAAAATACGAACTTACTGATTCGTTCTCCAACATCAACATGTTCAGTGCCGACGTTTTTGTCGTTAACGTGTGAAGGTTAAGAACAGATAGAGGTTCTCCACAAGCAAAATACCATTGCTGGAAAGCGGGTATTAGTCATAGCAGTGTGTGGAGGACAAAATGAAGACAAAAGATGAATTTCCAAAAGGGGGACGTTACGTAATCAACAGGTAAAGTAATGAAAATATAAACTAACGTATTTTGCATGTATTTTTTGTTAATGCTATGTTCGTTCAGGACATAGGGGATCATAACTCCCCATTGATTACTATGGCACCCCATAGATTTCTTTTCTTTAGTATCTTTGAGTTGACATGCTTTCATGGGAAATAGTGAAGCAGTTATCCGTTATTTTCTACATGGTTTTAAAGTCCGTGTTTTCCTTCTCTTAGACTGGTTGCCACCCAAGGCTAAAGAACTTATTTAGAATGGATAAAGAAAGATGAAAATTGGAATGTGCCAATTAAAATTGTATCTAGAGTTACAGTTATTAGTATATAGACACGAATAAATTTCTTGGTTTTAAATAAATGATTTCTCTAGTTCTCTTTTTCTTTTACTTTCAGATTTAATAACTTAAGTCTTTGGCAATTTCAACCTTGGAAAGATTAACAATCAAACAACGTGTTAATGTTATCGAAGCCTATTACGAAAATGGACGTCCAAACAGAAATGCATTTCGTGTACCTTGCGATTTTTTTGGTCAACATAATCGACTAGTCAAGAGTGCAAATGGAAATGATGTAACGTTGTGGAGAGGTTTACTTCCTGCATGCGATGACGAATAGTGGTGCCTGGATTTTCGGCCACATTCTCATACACAGAAGCAATGTTTTCAGTTGAATGGCATAAACGAGCACGCAATGGTGTTTTCACATCTGCCACCGACCCAGTTTCTTTGAATTTACGAAGAATTTTTCAAACTGCACTCTTGAAAATTTAACACGTTTGATTGTTAATCTTTCCATGGTTGAAATTGTCAAAGACTTAAGTTGTTAAATCTGAAAGAAAAACTCATTAGACGCTTACAACCTTTACAGCAACTTCTTTGACAAATAAGACTAAGAAATAAAACTAAGAAATACGTTGAAAATAGGCTTACGTTTTCACTTCGGGATTTCCTTCGGAATCCTGATGTGTTTTTATTCGATCGATGATTATATTTAGGCCAGTTATGTTTTGCAATCGCCTGGAAAAAAAGAAAGAATTATCAAGAAAACAATATTCACCATAAGTCGTATTTCGTCAATGCAGATAATATACAAACTAAAGAATTATAACCCTTCATATCAAAGGTAGGACCTTTTAAAAATATGTAAAAAATGCGGCCATTTCAAATATATCAGACACACACACTCATACGCTCACATTGGTTAGTGAATGACAAATGACAAAAGAAAAACAGCGATATATAGACAAACACGGAATCAATTAAGTTAATCTTTCTATACTAGGCGTCAAAATTTAAAGTTGAGCGTCCTGTACCTTTAACGTTTCGATGCAGACTCTAACTAGTGTTTGTTTTCTTTCCCTCACCTTCCATGATTTTATAAAGAAGAATCTTTCCAACAATAAAACCATCTGCAGTTTCTTCCCGGAACGATTCCCGCCATTATGTGATTTCCCATTTCGTCATTCACTTACCCACTATTTGTATTACATATATATTTTTATATCTTCTCTCTCTCTCTCTCTCTCTCCTACTATATATATATATATATATATATATATATATATATATATAACAGGAAGAGGTTATAGTAGTTCCAACGAGAGAAAAGTGTGTACATTAAAAAGAAGAGAGAAGCCGCAAACTTATTTGGTTGTAATGTGGATTTAGAAAAAATATTATGTTTTATTTTACACAATATTTTTTTTAAAATCTACATTACAAACTAAAAGATAATTATATATATATATATATATATATATATATATATATATATATATATTATTCAAATTTTACAAAGCCCAAGAGCCACTCAAGTTAGCGGAGTACAAAGTAAGAGGTAAGACGAACAGTTTATATAGGCATCTGAGGAAGATAACAGTTAACCCAAGTTAAATTTGTAGAGATCGGGAAAACAATTTTGTAGAGATCGGGAAAACATTTCGGTTTCACAAGGTAGCGGCTAGTGGGTAGATACTCTTGGAATGGCATTACACCTCATCAATCGAATACGAAATAAATCTATCTATCTATCTATCTATCTATCTATCTATCTATCTATCTATCTGTCTCTCTCTCTATATATATGTGTGTGTGTGTGTGTAGTAATTAGTGGAAAGTGCTCAATATCCGTGATAGAGCTAACATTTGCGGTTGCATGCTTTCACGATCTGTTTGTCTAAAGATCGCGGAAATGAGAAACTAAGGTCACAAAACTCTCCATGCTACTGCATATATATATATATATATATATATATATATATATATATATATATATATATATATATATATATATATATATATAGAGAGAGAGAGAGAGATAGAGATACTAGTTCAAAATTTTTTTTAAATTGTCCCCAAAATAATTTAAATAAGAGAATATTATTATTTGGTTAAAAACGTGTGACATGAATTTTTAGTAGAAATTTTATGACAAAAAGAAAAAAAAAAGCATTTTATAATTAAATTTTACTCTCACCAAAATATCCTCCGTTAGCCTTGATTATTGTAGCTCAAATTTTTGCGATCATTGCAAAAGTTTCTCAAAGTCAAAGTTTGATATTTGATTCCCTTCTTTTTTCAATGACTAACATCTCTTTTTTTTACTCTTCTGTCAAGTTCATTCCATATAATTCTCGGGGTGGCTTCAAACTTTCAATCTAATCCATATATATATATATATGCATGCATATACACACACACACACATATATATATATATATATATATATATATATATATATATATATATATATATATATAAAAGAAAAAGAAAAAAACAAAAAATCATTAAATGCAATTATATTTGTTTAAAACCACATAATTGCAATTATGTTTTTAAAACCACATAATTGCATTTAATGATTTTTTTTTTGTTTTTCCAAAATTTTTTCATTCTGTCGGATCTATATCCATTTACATTTGCTTACATATATATATATATATATATATATATATATATATATATATATATATATTATGAAATGGACAACGTCCGACAATTATTTATATATATATATATATATATATAGTTGGTCGATGAAAGAAATTCAAATTTTAATAATTGTATATTATTCGGCAATGAAACAAAATAAAAGATGCTCAGAGAAATCTTAAATATCGGAATTTTCGGATAAGCTCTTTCAAGGAAAATTAAGTTGTCTAATGGTCTAATAATAATAATAATAATAATAATAATAATAATTTGATTTAATTTGATATATATATATATATATATATATATATATATATATATATATATATATATATATATATATATATATATATATATATATCTTCTCTGATTCTTCTATGTTTCGGTTGGGTGATGATGACCATATCTCAGCCCCTACCTACAGCTTAGAGGCACAGCACTTTCCTTGGCACATCAACTGTTTCAAGCAGTGTTGCCAAGAAAATATTATTATTATTATTATCATTGAGCGTGGTATCATTTTGATAGGGAGTAATTTTAAGTGCCTAATTATCAAGTCTCCTCTGGGGGTCTATGAGTAAAAAGACCCATTGTAGAAGGGTTATCTATGCACATTTGTGACTCTTCCTTTTGCGGATGATATGTGCTCTTCTACACAAAGCAATATTTTGTAGCTTTAAGATGCTGATGTGTCCGGGAATTGTATTCACATGATTTTCGGTACCCTTCTTTATTATATTCAATGGCCCTATTACAACAGAGATAATTGTAGTTTTTCACAGTTTTGAAATTCTTCTTCAGAAACATTGGAATTCTGTCGGTAAGTCCAATTAGTTGGCAGGTTACTTCCCTGAAATCTTTTATGACTCTGGTCTGTTTGCATCAATTTTCCTGTTTGTGAGGATTGAGAAATTTAACAGTATAATCACTCCATCGCTATCGTGTTATCATTCGGGTGGTGATTGTAAATTGTACCCGGAACTTCAGTACCATAGTTCGAAAAGACATGTCAATGAATATATAGTCCTAGACTGTCATGTTTATTAATGCATTATTATTATTATTATTATTATTAATAATAATAATAATAATAATAATAATAATAATAATAATAATAATGATAATAATAATAATAATATTATTATTTGTATGTTATGTTCCTTGCTTTGTATCCTGTAAAGCCAGATCCAAACTATGGTCCTTAGGCTCTATAAGAGAATTGTCATTTAAGTGATAGCATTTATCTTAGTATATGGGATGTTCCTACTGGGCGATCTTCTGGGCAACTTGTATGTTGATGTTACCTGAGATACTGTTAGTAAAATCGTCCATTCCTTTTCTTGCGAAGGCCAGAGCTCCGATTACTGTTGGTACAGTTTGAGTCTTCATTCCCCACATCCTGTTAATCTCGATCTCCAGGTCCTTGTATTTGGACAATTTCTCGATAATTTTCATGCAGGTGTTTCTCTCAGATGGTACTGTTATGTTAATAAGCATACACTTCTTGAATTTCTTGTATGTTATGATAATATCAGGTCTGTTAGTTGTTATTTCCCTGTCATTTTGAACTGGCATGTTCCAGAGGATAGTTACATTGTTATTTTGGGTAACTGTGTCTGGTTGGTGGTCATACCATCTCTCATTCGTTTCGATTTTGTGCTTCTTCTATATTTTCGAGTGCACATATGTTGCTACATTGTTATGTCTGTGAGTATATTCAATTTTTCTATGATCCTGAGATAATATGGTAGACTGTTTTATCATATTTTTGGAAGATCCTGCATTTCAGGTTATTTCCATCTTTGATTATGTGACAGTGCACATCTGGCTGCGAGGTTTTGGTCCTCAGCTGCAATAATTCGGGCTTTTGTTTAAGCTTTCAACCCAGTTTTCCTCAGCCACTGATGTATTTACTGTTGGTTCACATCTGCTTTTTTCGTTCTTTTTAGGTATTTGCCATGCAACACCTTGTCCTCCAAGTTTTGTTGTAATTTTATTTGGCCAAGTTGTTTTGCTTTCTGTTTTACTTGTTTAGCGTAGATGGTATTCACTTCGTTTTTTGTTGGTAGGATTTCAGGTACATTAAGCTGTTTCTTGAAGGGTGCAGCTTCGTTTTTGATGGAGTGGATTTGGTGATTGACTATTTGTAGGAGAGGGTCATTGTTTTTTGTAAGGTATACTTCCAATCCGAATGTTGTAGGTTTTAGAATAAGTTCAAGTTGGCTTAGACCTCGGCCTCCTAAAGCTCTTGGTACGTACAACCTATCAAGACCTGATTTGGGTAAGCATTTTTTTGATTCTTGTTCTATGCACATTTCCTACCGGTTGCCAACCAGAGATTTAAGATCAGAAAAGGCTTCATGACATTTTACACTAATCATTTTTGTACCCACCCCCCCGGCAAAATAACCCTAAGATCACTCAAATTTTACAAAGAAAAAAGCTTTTCGTAATGTATGAGATGTACTTAGGAGTACAATTTTTTAGTATTTTTTCAAGGCATGGGCTACCAGAAATCCTTTCATTGAGTTTATCGGAACCTTTTCTAATCAAGCCTATGGCTCCAACAACAACTGGAATTATTGATGTTCACATGTACCTCATTATTTTAGATTTCCACTTCAAGATCCTTTTACTCTGATAGTTATTATTATTATTATTATTATTATTATTATTATTATTCCTTCCGTAACCTTTTTCATTTTTCAACCGGGGATCTAGCATGATGGGCATTCTCCATTAAGTCGTATGACGACCTCATACAAATAACACCTTTCGCAGAATATTTACACAGCCAAGCAACGCAGATTTCTAAAGCGATGGGAGAACAAGGTTTTGTTCCAATTTTCTTAACGCAAGAACGAAAACTGCGACAATAGCAGGCTTAACGTCGTATATTCTGGCAGCCTCATTCTGGAGATCAGTGTACTTTTAAGCTTTTCAATGTCTGACGGTGATATTGTGCCAAAGGAAGAGCCACATCGATGAAAAGGCAATTATTATTATTATTATTATTATTATTATTATTATTATTATTATTATTATTGTTATTACTATTTTGTCTCTTTCGAATTTTTTCATCGATC